GGACATATTGTCAGGATGGACCAGTTGCTTGAGAAGGATATCACATTTGGTAAGGTAGAGGATCAGAAAAAAAAGGAAGACTCCCAATGCGAGGGATTGGCCAAGTGGCAGCATCGATGGACTCAAGCATGGCAACAGTAGTGAGGCTGGCCCAGGATTAGGCAGTGTTTCATTCTGCTGTGTATAAGGTTGTTATGAGTCGGTACCGACTCGATGGCACTGAACAACAACAACAACAACCAGTGGTGCAAATGGTTAATGTGTTTGGCTGCTAACTGAAGGGTTGGCAAGTTCAAGTGCATCCAGGGGCACCTTGGAAGACTGGCCTGGCCATGTACTTGTAGAAAATCAGTTATTAAAAACCATACAGAGCACAGTTGTACTCTGACACACAAGTGAGTCAGAACTGACATGATGGCACCTTTGGTTTCCTCTTTCTTTTTAAGAGATGTACATCATTTTAGTACACCTCTATAATATTATTAGAGATAATTATTTAATTTCTGATAGACTCTAAAGTGTTTCCATGTTGGAAACAACTATTCTAACAGGAAAACTTGATTCTTCTGATAAAATAGATCAAAGTTCTTTTTTACAATAAAGATCATGAAACAAAATTCTGTTTTTACAAGAGAAAGCTCTTTGACCAATCCAAAATAGTAAGAATGCATATATAATACAAAGACACACATTTTCCTAACTTGTATTTTTTATCCTTTCTAAAAAACAAGACAAAACAAAAAAATGACAATTTATTAAAATTTAAATCTGCAAAGAGACTGGAAGAATCCAAGACTATAGCCCTCAATCACCCTTCAGGTCTGGAAAGGAAGTGGGATAACTGTTGTTGCAGGGAGGGGACTGCAATCATTGAGATGAAACAAAGGTTATGATTTGTTGAATGTAAAACTAACAATCTTGTCTGTAAACCTTCACTCAAGTCGCAATAAGAAGTAAAAAAAAAAAAGAAATATCTGCAACCCAAACTTCAGAACAATCATTTGATAATTCCCTTCTATTTACTTTGTCTACCCTTCTTAAGAAAGGCCCATCTGTTTTTAAAGATGACACTGCGACTCTAGATAAATTTGAGCCGCAACGTCAGAGGTTCAAACTAACCAGTTGCTCCTTAGAAACCCTAAACAGGATCTCTCTAAGTCGGAACTGACTTGACGGCACTTAATAATAACAACAACAAACTCTTAAGGGGAGTCCTGGTTTGGTGCTGAAGGATAAGCATTCGAACTCAAGGTCAGTTTGAACCACAATATTGGAGGTTCAACCTCACAAGCCGCTCCCTGGAAACCCTATAGAGAGTGGCTATGAGTCAGAACCAACTCAACGGCTCTTAACAACAACAACAAATTCTTAAGGAGACCTGATACCCTCGCGGGTTACAAGTTGGGCTGCTAATCGCAAGGTCAGCCATTTGTATCTACTAGGTGTTCCTTGGGAGAAAGATGTGGCTTTCTGCTCCAGTAAAGATTTACAGCCTTGGAAACCCTATACAGGGTCACTATGAGTCAGAAATGACTCCACACAACCACCACCACCAAACTCCTAAGGGACTTAGGACTAAGTTGAGCCTGACCCAAAATACCTAAAATATTTTCAATAGCCTTATATGCATATGAAAGTTGGGACAATGAATAAGGAAGAACAAAAAAGAATTGATGCACTTTAGTTATGGTCTTGGAGAAGAATATTAAAAGTACCATGGATTGCCAGAAGGAAAAACTAATCTGTGCTGAGAGGAATACAGCCAGAATGCTCTTTAGAAGTCAGGATGGTGAGATTTCCTCTCTCATACTTCAGACATGTTATCAGGAGAGACCAGTCTCTGAAGAAGGACATCATCCTTGGCAAAGTGGAAGGTCAGTGAAAAAGAGGAAGACCCCAACGACATAGATTGGCACAATGGCAGCAGCAAAGGGCTCAAGCGTAGTGACAACTGTGAGGACGGCGCAGGACCTGACAGTGTTTCATTCTGTTGTACACAGGGTCTCTATGAGTCGGCGCCAACTCTATGGTACCTAAGAACAACAAATTCCTAAGACCTTAAGGGCCTTTCAGAAACTCGTTACAGAAATCTCTCAAATTCAAAGCTGCATATGAAGATTTCAAATGCCAAATCTAAATTTAAACCCGGAATACGTTATCAATTTCAAATTGTAATATGGCACACCAAAAAAATATGACTTAAGACATTGGATTTATCAAGTGAGTTAGATGAAGGCAATGAAACCTGCCACTCTATAAGAAAGAACTGAACACAAAAGGCCTATTTTGAGATGGAAGAGCAGAGACAGAAGATCGAGGCCACTCAACAATGAGGGCCTGTGAGAAGAGCACCAAACAGAAGCTCTGACCTCAGTCTGCTGTTACATATTGCATAACTCAACAGCGAGGCTCCCATCTAGGTCTTCGCATCAGGCGACAATAAACTGAAGAGCACTTTGTTCATGTACCAAAGACAGACTTAAAAATAAAACAGAACCATGTCTCAACTGCAGAAATAAAAAAAAACAAAAACTATAGCTTCAACACAATCTCTATAAAAAAAAATCCCAACTGGCTTTTTGGCAACATCGTCAGCCAGCTGATCCTAAACTTCAATGGAAAATACAAAGAACCCAAAAAGACCCAAAACAGTATTAACAAAGGAAGAAGTACTCTGCGTACTTCAAGAGTAAGCGACAGGGCTAAGAGCTCATTTCTAGGTCCCAGTAGTCTGACTATCCTCTGGAAGAGTATTGAAGACAATGGGAGCGTTCTCGGAAATAAACTGTCCTCCAATGGGATTGTAGAAAAAGAACTGGACGAGGAGCTGGAAGAGGTGGGTGCTAACAATGGCGCTGCCACTACCGTGGAGTGCACTTATGGGAAAAATCTTTCCAGCACTGTGGACCTTGTTTCTCTACCTGTACCTTGAAGAACTGACCTAGGTCCCACCTGAATCTGTGTCAGTAGATGTACTTCTGACCTGTGATACTGAAATACGAGGGGGCTTCAAAACTTCCATGGAAAAAATCAGTTAACTTTTCATTCCATTTTTCACAACCATTCTGAAGCGCCCTCGTATGTAATTCCTAAAAGTGCCAAATTGTGAAATATATCCAAGGTGTTAGGAACAAAATAGAGAGTATACTTACGGGTTCGATCCCTGTTCCAGGCATGACAGGTGATTGGCTCTAGTAAAAACTGATGCAGAGACATTGTTCTTAGTGTTCTCAAAGAATAGAAAGCTGCAATGAACAACAGAGAAAAGCATTTGAAATGACAGGTAACTGACATTTAAGTTGAGTGTAAGCTACATTAAAAAGTATATAGCTATAAAAGGCTTTTTTGGGGGGTGTACAAAAAGGGAAATTTGTATTTGGACTAGACCTTATAGACAACATGGTATTATTTTCATTTTCTTAGACATGACAAGGGAACTGGAGTTAAATAAGAGAATCCCTTGTTCTTAGGAGATAATGATGAAGATGCGTTTACAAGTGTCGATACGTAACATGTTTAGTCATTCAAACAGAAAGCAGATTGTAAAAAGTAAATGTGGCAAAAAGTTTTCAAATGGTGATTCCAAGTAGAGCATATGCAGGTATTTGATACAGAAGGGTTTAAAAAAGTTCATGGAAGAATGGAATTGAAGGATAAAGGAATTTTCTCATGAACATTTTGAAGTTCCCTCCTATTGCTGCACTTTTAAAAACTTAAGTGAAAAGCAGGAATCTGTAAAACACCACCAAATTAAAAATCAAATCAAAATGTCTAGTTTATAGTCACTCAAATCTGGATTTACTGAAGAAGTCACAAGCGATCATTATCGGAAATGTTATTGATTCAGACTCCTGGTGACCCCACATGACAGAGGAGAGCAGTCCCCTGGGGGGGGGGGTCCTTGGATGTCGTCTTTAGGGAACAGCTTGCCAGGTCTTTTCTCTCATGGAGCTGGATCTGCTGGTGGTGGGTTTGAACCCCCGACCTTTTGGTTTGCAGTGGAGTACTTATCCATTGTGCTACCACGGTTCCTATTATCTGAAATAGGGGAGAGAGTTTTAGGTTTTAAAAAGCAAGACCTAAATTGAATAAAGGTGAATACTGTTAACTGATGGAACACAGAAGGGATGGGAATCGTCATAATGACAAGTGTGTGATTTGTTGAATGTGAGAATGATGATCTGTTCTGTAAACCTTTATTCAATTCACAATAAAAAGTTTAAACAAACCAACCAAAAGCAACCAGCATTTCCTCCCACCTACAGTCTGAAGTTTCAATGCTCTTTAAACACAAGTCATAGTAAGTAACCTAGGAGGGAGGCTGAAACCTGAGAGAAGAGTTCTGATACCAACAGGAAATGAACGGAAGGGGCACCTGAAAGGTGGGAGGTGAACAACGGAAGGTCAGCTGGCAGCACAGAAGACTTCTGCTAATTGTTGTAATGGAACCCCAAGGTCGACATGAGATAAACAGCTAGCATTTGGAACTGGCAGACAGATGCCAGTGTGTCACTTACTAAAAAGGACGATGCTTAGATCATTCTTTTTTCTCTCATTTACGTGGTCTAGAATGCAAACTGTGAGTCACAAATACAGACGCAAGTTTTAATAGGAAATATACATATTTTCATGAATTCCAGTGAGACTGCTTAACCTGGATTTTAAAAAACAAACAAACTTTTTCTTGAGAATTGGGTGAAGCTTTAAAAAGCAGATCACGTTTTAGTCTATAAATTGTCTCCTTGTTTCATCTCATGGATTGCAGTCCCCTCCATGTAACATCACCTATCCCACTTCCTCCCTGTGGGTCTTGTTTCCATTCCTTTTTCTTTGCCCACCCTTCTGAATTCTGTCCTTAGGTAAATGCTGCCCTTTGGATCTCAAATGGCTGCCCACTCTGTGGCATGTGTACCTTCATCTGTTTTTTTTTAAATGACAATTTCTGGATGCTCTGTATGATTCTTTCTCTCTTCTATCAGATAGTTAGCTAAATGGCTCAGTCACAGCAGGTTTTACTCATAGCTACCCAGTGGAGTCCTGGTGTGGTGCTATAGGATAAGCACTTGACTCCTAAACATGAGGCTAGCAGTTTAAATCCATCAGCCGCTCCTTGAAAACCCTATTTAGGGTGGCTATGAATTGGAACCAACTCAATAGTACTAACAATACCACCACTCAGAGGCTCTGTGGGACAAAGACCTGGCGATCTGCTTCCAGAAATGCCCTACAGATCAGTTCTACTGCAACAACACACAGGGTCGCTCTGAAGTGAAATGGACTCAACTGCCCACAACTCCTGGGGTTGCGCTGTAGGATCAGCACTGGACTTCAACCACAAGGTCGGCAGTTCAAACCCACCAGCTGCTCCTCGGAAACCCTACACAGGGTTGCTATGAGTTGGAACTGACTTGACTACTTAAAAACAAGAAGCCCACACCAACACCCGAAACATGCTGTGTCACAAGTACTTCTGTGATTAGAAGCAATCTAGTTCAGAGGCTACATTTTACAGTCTGTAAAAAGTTTGTTTGTTAAAAACAGAAGCAAATTTAGCCTGCAGATTAATAACGTACGCTGAATATTAACCTGCCATAAAAGCACATAGTTCATGTACAGTGGAACATGAAGATCAGCTGCAGATAAATGCTTTCTCATTCGTCAACTAAGTTTTATTAGCAGTGGAGAATAGCCTTGCAGAGGAGAGTCATGCATCCACACAATAGAGCATAATTATTTCTAAAACTGCATTTTGAATTCAGTTATATCACTTAAGTCCCACATTTGGTTGTACACTCAGACCTGTACTTCCTTTATAGTCAAGTGCTTATTTTAAGGGTGTTGGCTAAGACAACACTCATGTTTGTCAGATTTATAAAGTGCCCAGTAAAGGCAGCTTGTAGTCATCAAACTCAGTAAATGCCTAAGAAACCCATTCTCAACACTAGTCTGAATTTTATACCAATAGATAACTCTGTTGTACAGCGATCATTATAATTCCCAAACTGCTGTCTAATATTTATGTGAACTCTGAAAACCTTTGCTTTAGGGGACTAGAGAGAAAAACAAAAAAACAAAACAAACCCTACTGCCACAGAGTTGATTCAAACTCATAGCCACCCTATATACAGGACCGAGCTAACTGCACCGCATGGTTTCTGAGGCTGAAATCTTTATGGAAACAGACTGTTGTATCTTTCTCCCTTGGAGTGGATGGTGGATTTGAGTCACTGATCTTCTAGTTAGCAGCTCAATGCTTGACCACTGTGCCACCAGGGCTCACAAAGAGAAAAAAAAAAGGACTGCCAAAAAAGTGGTGGCATTAAATTGGGTATATATATATATATATAATTATTTTTTTTAAAAATAGGGTATATTTTGACTAATTTTTAATTGCCCAGCAGTGTGGAAGATAACAACTATTTGGGGCATGGTATAATTCCAGACATTTCCCCTTACATCCTTTATGGCTGCTTCACTGTGGGGCACGGGGGTACTCTGTTGTCTGATTAGCCATGGGCTCTGGAGCCCCGGGGACCTGGGTGTGAATCCTGCTTTTGACATAAACAGGCTGTGAGACCCTAGCCAAGTGACTGAACGGCTCTCAATCTAAGTTTTTAATCTGTAAAAGGGAGATCCTACTGGTACCACGAATGGCTGCTGCTGCTCTGGGCAGTCAGTTTTGACTTCAGTTTCCGAGGCTATAAATCTTTATGAGAGCAGAAAGCCTTATCTTTCTTCCATGGAGCGGCTGGTGGATTCGAACTGCTGGTTTTACAGTTAGCAGCCTAACATGTAATCCACTATGCTACCAGGGCTCCTACTGTATGAAAGACTAAATGAGATAACATATGTGAAAGCAAGTAGTACAGAGCCTGCTCCCAATTAAATGCTCAGTAAGTTAGACTAAATGAGATAACATATGTGAAAGCAAGTAGTACAGAGCCTGCTCCCAATTAAATGCTCAGTAAGTTAGTTCCCTCCCTTAGCTGACCCACCACCTCAGAGTACACACCGGTCAGTATACTCTGATTCTGGAAACGATTTACGTTAGCTTTACATTCCTGGTGTTCTACTTCAGGAGCTTCATTTGAAGGACTCTTATCACTAGGACTTTCAGTTCCGGGGTTAGGGTCAGTCTTCAAGACTGTGATTCATCAGGCTAATTGCTCTCAGTGCCCAACCCAGCACCATCAGGCACTCTGCCTGGCGACCCCACCCTCTCCAGGGTTCTCATTCTAGGCACCGCCTCACTGGCAGATCATTTTAAACGTCTTTATACAGAACAACCGTTTCAACATAGGTTTAGATACCTCACTGCTGTCATGTCGAGTTGAGTTACAGTGACCCTGTACAGGGTTTTTGAGACTACCAATCTTTATGGGCTCAGAAACCCTCAGCTTTCTCCTGTGGTGCAGTTGGTGGGTATGAACTGTTGACCTTACGGTTAGCAGTCCAGTGCTTATCCTCAGCACCAACAGGACTTAACACTGGCACTCTCCTTCCAGAGCTAGAGTTTTAATTTTCCAAGATGATCTCCTCCTTTAATAGTAATTGGTAGATGAATGAACCCTGAAGGGTCTCTGAGTACTCAGTGGTAGGATTCGGGCAAACAGTGAAGCCCATTCATTGGTGGTGGTGGTGGTTATGTGCCATGGGGTCAGTTCCGACTCATAGTGACCCTGCACAGGATTTCCGAGGCTGTAAATCTTTACGGGAGCAGAAAGCCTCATATTTCTCCTGTCGAATGGCTGTAAGTTTTGAACTTGTTAGCACTATGCTACCAGAGCCTTCTAGACTGCTACCCTGTCCTTCGCCATCGTTGTTGTTAGGTGCTATGGAATTGATTTCAACTCACAGCTATCCAACAGGGCCTGTCATTTTCATGGGAGCAGATGTTGTTGTGAAGTGCCGTCGAGTCACTTATGATCCATAACGCCCCTATACAGTTTCCGAGGAGCAGCTGGTGAGCTTGAACCACCGACCTTGCAGTTCAAGCCGACTGTGCAGTCCAGCACATTAACCCACAGTGCCACACCAGGAGCAGATAGTCAGGTCTTTCGTCTGTAACACTGCTAGGTGGGTGTGAGCCACCAACCTTTCAGTTAGCAGCCAAGCACTTAACCATTGCAACCTCAGGGCTCCTGTTATCAGGCACCCGGTGGCACAGATGTTCCAGTGCTTGACAACTAAGGAAAGGTTGGTGGTTTGAACCCACCCCCATGAGGTGCCTGTCGATCGGCTTCTGAAAAGTCACATCCCGAAAAAGCCTTTGGAATAGTTCTACTCTGTATGCACGGGGTCACCGGGAATCAGAATAATGAACAACAAACAACCTGAAACCAAAAGGTCAGACAAAACTGATTACGGAGGGAAGAGCCAGGATAATTCAGACAGCTGACACAATGGGTTGAGGCAAAAGGAGGCAAGCATCTCTTTCAGGCTCCAAAGCCCCCGTATAAGAGCAGATGGCTTTAGAAGCAGCTTTAGTAAGTGCCTAGCTATGGTGTTCCACAGGTTTCAATGGAGCCTCTGGACTATGACACACTACTTCTGAAAATCAGCCAAAGAAAACCTTATGGGTCACAACAGTTGGCTCAGCAGCTGATCATGGGGACTGCACAAGACTGGGTGGCACTCTGTTCAGTTGTACCCAAGGTCCTTGTGAGGCAGGTCTTCTCCATGGCAACTGACTTCAACAAAGGATGTTCCTGGCAGTGTGGCAGGTACCAGGTTGGGGTCAGAAATAGTTTTAAAATCTGGCACTTTTCTGATCCTTAAGTCGGGGGGTGGGGAGAAAGAGGAGTAGGGAGGAAGGAAGTTGAATATGTATAGGATGTCCAGAAGCATCCTTATGTTTAGCTTTTGTTTGGTAGTGTAGTGGTTATGAATTGGGCTGTGAACCTTAAGGTCAGCAGTTCGAAACTACCAGCTGCTCCGCGGGCGAAAGATGAGGGAGGCTCTCTGCTCTCATAAAGATTTACAGCCTCAAAAACCCTGTACAGGATCGCTATGGGTCGGAACCGACTCGACGGCACTTAACACCACCACCACCACCACCACCACTCTGGACCAGGATCAAATTTAAGCAATGAATACAAATAAACTCATACACTCCTCAGAACAACTCAAGGAATCAGTTACAATTCTTTTCCTATTGCAGAGTAGAAAGCAGGCACCCACTCAACAAAGCATTGGTGACAGGTTTAGAACTTTGGCAGTCCGACTGAATACTTGGAATGAGAAAGGTACTACATAAAAAGATCCCACTAAGCAAGTGGTGTTGTTAGGTGCCCTGGAGTTGAATCGGACCCAGATGGACCCCAAGTGACAGAGTAGGAGTGCAGAAACTAAAATAACAAAACCCACTGGCCTGGAGTGGATTCCAGCTCACAATGCCCGGTGTTACAAAGCTTAACTGCTCTATAAGGGTTTCTTGGCTGTCATCTTTAGGGAAGCAGATCGCCAGGTCTTTCTTCTGAGGTACTGCTGGGTGGGTTCAAACAACCAACCTTTAGTTGGAGAGCAAAGGTGCAATAGGTTCACGGAAGAGGGTGCAATTGTGCAGCACTGGTGGAGAGAAATCTTAAGGATGGAGGTGGGGGGTATAGATTTTTCTGGAGTTCAGGCAGCTCCACCTACAAAATTGAAGGCTGCCTTAGATGGGTGCCCATTCTAGAGGCACAGAAGGAAATGAATGAGGCTTGTGAGGCTTCATAAGGAGTCCTGGTGGCACAGTGTGCTAAGTATTGGACTACTAACTAGAAGGTCGGCAGTTCAAACCAATCAGCCCCTCCACAGGAAAAAGATGAAACCGTCTTCTTCCATAAACGTTTATAGTCTTGGAAATCCTACATCACTATGAATAGGAATCAACTCCACAGCAGGGAATTTGGTTTAGTTTTTCGTTACACTCCATATAAGAGTCCTGGTGACGCAATGGTTAAAGTACTCTGCAGCCAACTGAAGGGCAGGCGGGTTCCAACCCACTATGCTACCCTGGAGAAAGATACGGCAGTCTGCTCCCGTAAACACTACAACCTTGGAAACCTATGGAGAAGTTCGACTGTGTTCTATTGGGTTGCTATGAGTGAGAATCGACTGCACAGGAGTGGGTTTTGACTTTTGGTTTGTGGTGCTCCATTAGAGCGAGATTCCATTTCTCACGATTTTACGGTGACAGATGTCCAAAATAGAAATGCAAATCGGGGTATGGGGGCGCAGGAGAGAAAGCTGTTAATTCTAGCAGTGGAGGCGGCCTGGGGCTCTGAAATCTTGAGCGCGATCTGTACCCGTAGGGACCCCAAAGACTAGGGGGATCCTAGAAAACAAGACCCCCGCCCCACCAAGAGGCCCGGGGCTGACGGCCTGGGCCAGTCCCTTCAACCTCGGGGCTCCGCGGCCTAAGCCCCCGCGGGCTGTAGTTCGGCGAGAGGCCGGTGCAGTCAAATCCGCCAGAGCCAGAAGCTCATCCGCTGCCCCTTACCTGAGATCGGGGCGGTTCGGTTCGGCTCCGAGCGGAGGATTCGCGGACTCTGGTCAGTCGACGCGAACGGGCTCCCGCGGGCGCTGGCGGAGACCCGAAGCCAAGAGGGAGCGGCTGACAGATCCCGGAAGTGGTCGCGGCGCCTGCGCGGCGCGACCGCGCGGGCTGTCTACGCACGCGCATAGCCTGCGCGCGGTCCTGGGCGCCGGTCTGGTGTGGCTGTAGAGCGTGCGGTGGCTCTTCAGCATCTGTCCTAGATGTCTCGCTCCTTTTTTCTAAAAAGCTCGTTAGAATTTCAGTCCGAAATTGTGGGACCGCGGCGGTTTGCTTTTTGTCAGAAGGTGAATTCCGAAGCATTGGAGTGTTTCGAACCTTGACTAGCGAATATGCTTTTGCCACTGCAGAGACCCGCATCAGAGACGGCGACCACCCCATTAGCGCTTCCGACGCCATTAGCAGCACTGTGCCCGCGGTTGGAACCGCCCGTCTCGGCGCCACTACTCCCTCTGAGGAGAGCCTCTGAGGCCCTGCCGAGGAGCGTTCTGGAACCTTCTTGACCCACCCTCGGTCAGAATCACTTGCTTCTTACACCCAACAAGTAGGGGTTGGGGGAATTTTGTTCTTAAGTGCCCTAGAGTCGGTTCCGAGTAGTAGCGACCCACTGGGTTTTCAGGAGCAGGTAGTGGGTTCGAACTGCCAATCTTGCAATTAGCAACCCAGTGCTTATCTGACAGCGCCACACCAGGACTCCTGGGGGACTTTAGCAACCCCCCCAAAAGTATGTGAAGCAGTGAGTTTGCTGCATAGTGAAGCTTCTAAGAAATGCCCTGAACCCCTCGTCCAGCTAGACTGCTGCCTTTGAACCCTTAGACTTTTGAGCAGCACTGGTGGCCTGGGTGCCACTACAGGTGACTCACCAAAAACCAATTGCCACGTTATAGAACCCATGTGTTAAAGAAAAGAACTCCGCAGGATTTTCCTGGCTGTCATCTTTTTTGAAGCTGGTCACCAGGTATCTTTTCCTTGGCGTTGCTGATGGGTTTAAACCACCGACCTTTAGTTTACTAGTTAAGCCCAAATTTCTTGCACCATCAGACACCTTACTAAATGGGTGATTATTTTAAGCGTTGGGCTGCTATCTGAGAGGTCAGAGGTTCGAACCCAACAGATGAGGCTGTTGCTTCCATAAAGATTTAGTCTTGGAAACCCTGTGGAGCAGTTATACGCTATCCTATAGGGTTGCTGTGAGTCAGAATTCACTCAGTGCAGTAAGTGTGAAGTAGGTGGTTTCCCTGCTTGAGTCCAACGCTTGATGGTTGTTGTTGTTAAGTGCCATCGAGTCAGTTCCAACCCATAGCGACCCTGAACAGGGTTTCTGAGGCTATAAATCTTTACGGGAGCAGAAAGCCTCATCTTTCTCCCGCAGAGCAGCTGGTAGTTTCGAACTGCTGGCCTTGCGGTTCGCAGCCCGATTCGTAACCACTACGCTTACAGGTAGGACGTCCCAATTTAGGAACCTCACACTATGTTCTTTTAGGTGTGTGGTGGCTTTGTAGGATAAGCACTGGACTGTGAACCTCAAAGGTAGCAGTTCAAGTCCACCTCCAGAGAAAAACGACACTTTCTGTTCCTGAAAGATTTATAGCCTTGCAGGTTTTTACAACAACAAAGCTATTTAAGTAGCCCTAAGAAGGAGCTCTAAGGAGCTCTGGTAGCGTAGTGGTTACGAATCGGGCTGCGAACCGCAAGATCAGCAGTTCGAAACTACCAGCAGTTAACGGGGGAGAAAGAGAAAAATGAGGTTTTCTGCACCTATCAAGATTTATAGCCTTGGAAACCCTGTACAGGGTTGCTATGAGTTGGAACTGACTCCACGGCACTAAGAACAACAAAGAGGACTCCAGGGTCCTCTTAAGTGCTGCAGGATAATGCTCTGGGTCACAAGGGCTGTTTGAACCGCAAGGTCGATGGTTCAAACTCGCCAGCCACTCCCCAGAAACCTTATACAGGGTTGCAACTTGACGACACTCAACAACAGCAAAGAGGACTCCTGTAGGATCAGCACTTGACTGCAAGCCACAAGGTCAGCAGTTCAAACCCACCAGCTGCTCATTGGAAACCCTGTGTAGAGTTGCTATGAGTCAGAATCGACTCAACAGTATTAATAACAACAAGGACCCTGGCAGCCTAGTGGCTTACACATTGGGCTTCTAACTGCAAGGTCAGCAGTTCAAATCCACCAGCCATTCTGCAGGAGAAAAATGAGGCTTTCTACTCCCATAAAGACAGCATCAAAAACCATATACAGGGTTGCTATGAATCCGAACAGACTTGACAGCGTACAATCCCCACCACCAAGGACCTTGGTGGTGCTGTAGGATAAGCACCGGACTGCTAACTGCAGGGTTGGCAGTTCTAACCCACCAGCAGCTCCTCAGGAGAAAGATGAAGTTGTCTGCTTCCAAAGGTTTTACAACCTCACAAATCCTATACAGGGTCACTATGAGTTGGAATTGATTCATTGGCCATGGGCATGAACTGGAAGGATTAGGGTAGAGATGGAAAGATCATTTTATATTAATCACTCCACCAAGAGACAACATGCTGACAAAGACCAGCATGCCTGGAGAACAGGGATTCCTCATGGCCTGCAAGCTGCATGAGGCAGTCCCCAATTTATGTAAATTGGTAAAAACTGAATCCTTTACAGTCAAGACAATTTGGACCCATGGTGATCCTGTAAATTCAGGGTAGAACTCCGTTCTTCAGGGTTTACTTGGCTCCAGTCTTTTTTGGAGAGTGTCACTAGCCTCTTTTTTCTTGGTGCTCTTGGGTAGATTCAAACTGCCCACGTTTCTATGAGTGGCCAAGCACAAACAGTGTGCACCACCAGGGACCTGGTAGAGGTTATTTTGTTGTTGTTTCTTTTTCTTAACTTTTTATTGTGAATTGAGTGAAAGTTTACAGACAAAATCCATCAATTTCACATTCAACAAATCATTTTGATTTTGAATGATTGACCAACCCATGGTGATCATACTTTACTAGTGTTATTGTCCATCCCAGATACCTCTCTACTTCTTGGCTAAAAATTGGGTCACAAGGGTGAGTTCCTTTTCAGACCTAAAATATAGTCAAGGGCCACAGTCTCAGGTGTCTCTAGAGTTGATTGGTTTAACTCCTAGCAACCCCGTGTGAGAGAGTAGAATAAGAAAGGCTCACCAGGATTTTGTGCCACAAAGTCGCTGGGTAGGTTTGAACTACCAGTCTTTCAGTTAGCAGACAATTGCCTAATTGTTGTGCCATCTGATAGAGTTGATACCCACTGTCAAAATACCAACAATATTCTATCTAGATTGCACCTCCTATACAAAGACGATTTTTTCTTTGAAGGGTAGTTTATGATCTGGGAGAGGTCCTTGGGTTGCATATGGTTTTCACTCAGCTATGAACATGACTACTGGTGTGCTGGAAGATAAGCAGTGGACTGCTAACCACAAGGTTGGTGGTTCAAAGCCACCAGTTGCTCCTCAGAAACCCTGCACAGGGTTTCTATGATTTGGAATGGACTCAATGGTACTTAACAGCAACAAACATAAAGGTTGGTGATTTGAACCCAACTAGCAGTGCCTTGAAGAAACACCTGGCAATCTGCTTCCCCAAAAATGACAGCCAAGAAAACCCTGTGGAGCAGTTCTACTTTGTAATAACATGACTTGAAATCAACTTGATGGCGGTGGGTTTGGGATTTTTTGTTTGTTTGTTTGTTTTTGTATACTCTGGAGGTAGAAAAGTAACATGTAAATGAACCATCCCAGCTTCTATATGATAAATGATGAGAAAAGAAATACCAGTCTTCCCAAATCACTGTGGTGGTGGTCGTGGTGGTAGTAAGTATACCGTGGAATCAATCTGACTTTTAGCAACCCTGTATAGGGTTTCTGAGGCTGTACATTTTTATAGGAACAGAAAACCTCATCTGTCTCCCATAGAATGGCTGGTAGTTTTGAACTGCTGACCTTGAAGTTAGCAGCCCGATTTATAACCACTACACTACCAGAGGTCCTTCCAAAATGACTGTAAGACACATTTAATATTAATCTTTGGTTCTGTCTTTTAAATCAGCATTTTGCTTTTTAACCTAAACAAAGTTTACCATTTCATGCGTCTCATTTCATATCTTTGAGTCATTCCAAACTGAAAGGAACCTTTAAGTTCAATTTCTTATTATGTAACTGAGGAAATAGGACCAGGGGATTTTTGAAGACTTGAGAAAGGTTTTGACATAAATCAGTGGCAGGATTGGCCTTTCGATGTCTACTCCAGATTGTTTCCCATTCTACCATCATGCTGCATCTAAGAGCTGTTAGAATTTCAAGGAAGGAGTGATTTTTAATACTTTTCTGCTTTTTAAAAAAGACTTATGTGGTAGAACTCTCACCTTACGTGCGGGAGTCGCAGGTTCAATTTCCAGCCAATGCATGTCCAGTGCAGCCACCACCCAACTGCCAGTGGAGACTCGCATGTTGCTATAATGCTGAATTGGTTTCAGCAGAGCTTCCAGGCAAGGACAGACTGGCAATCTGCTTCCAAAAAGCAGCCACTGAAAACACAAGAGTCAAGTCCTATTATACCTGGGGCTACCAGGAGTCGGTAGCGTAGTGGTTATAAATTGGGCTGCTAACCTCAAGGTTGGCAGTTTGAGACTACCAGCCGTTCCATAGGAGAAAGATGAGACTTTCTGCTCCTGTAAAGATTTACAGCCTTGAAAACCCTGTACAGGGTCATTATGAGTCATAACTGACTCCACAGTACTTAACAACAACAACAATCATGAGTTGGAGGCTTAGTTGAAACTGCTAACAACAACAGTTTTTAATAACACTTAATATCCAAAGAGCCCCTTGGAATAGCCACAGAATAAACTATTAAATGACTAAAACTTATACAATTAGAAAAATAATATTTAGAGGGGCTTGCCATTGACTTGTGTCTATTAAAGCATGATTTTCTTTAAAAAAAGAAAAGTTGATTAAAATAAATTCTACAGCCAAAAAAAAAAACAAAGAGCAACACACACCTTGAAAGTTCCAGGAAAGGCAGAAGGCAATGGGGAGTGAGGGGAG